TCTCAGTTTTGGGAAACCATGTACCAAGCGTTGGTAGATAAGATGGATTTCTGGATCAGACTCAGCATGCCTAGGGAATGATTCAATGGAGACAAACTGAGAAACATGATTGTTTCTTTGAAACGTGGAGCTAAAGAAGGATCCTGGGAATGTGCTAATCCAGGTAAATTTATGAATAAAAAACATTACAGAAATTTGAATCAACCTGTCATCTTATTCAGGAAAAAATATGTAGCAAATTCTGAATGTGTTACTTGGCCACAAACAGAGCAGAGTTCAAGTGAGTTCCCAGTTACCACTCCCTTATGAATGACACTTTCCATACGTGTTTCCATATGTGTTCTGTTTGTGGACATGGGTTTTAGCACGTGGTGTTTCTTCCCTGTTCCTTCCCGGTGGATATGGAGATATGTCCTCCATGTAAATCACTGGTAAGATTAAGGCATTCAGCTCACTCACTGCAAATGCCTAGCTTCTTTACCCAATAATGCCTTTTAGGATTTGGCTTTCTGTCTTTACTTTGCTTGATATACTCTCTGAAATCTGTTGTCAATGCACTTTCTCACCAAAGATCTGTTCAGGCTTGTAATGATCCTCATGCTTGGAAAAGTTTCATGGTATCTAGGCTGAATGCATATTAAATTATATAGATTTTTCTCGGCATAGATATCAGGTGCTGTAAATTCTAGATTTTTCATGGTGAAGGGATGGAGTACAGACACATTTTTCTAAATATAACACTTTACTCCAAGAGGTTTCATGTGGGGACAGGGCCTGTCTGTCAGAACACGTCCTGCCAGGCAGCTCTGCAAGCAGAACATGATAGTGAATTTAATCCTCTATATCCATTCTTGTGATCCATAAACTGGCTTCAAAGTGATGATTGAAAAGGCTTGAGTTTTGCAAGACAGTATCAGTAGAACCGTGAGGTTAGTCAGAGGATCAAGAAGGATTTTATACCCCACTTTAAGTAATCATTCCTCCCCTAAATTAAATAAGTGCTTCGTTCATTCAAAACAAGAATTTTGCAGTAGGGCAACTCCTCAGCAAAGACAAGTTTTGAACCGTCCCTGCATGTTTAGCCTGGGGGAAGGAGGCCCTCTCTTGACTCACTGCAATCAGTGATTCCCAAGGTGATTCCTGTCTGCTCCGATACCGGAGATGCACAAACACAGCGAGTCACTCTGCCGGCCCGGGAACCTGCTCACCACTCCTTTCCTTCTCCATGCAACCTGTGGCACTGCAAGGGCTCTTCGTGAAGAATCCGGGCTTTATTTATCTGGTGGAAATCTCTGCCATATAAACGGAAGATTAAGGCATCATAATACGAAAAGCCTCATTACAGTACTAAGAAAACCCAAACCTGCGCAGCCTCTTCGCCTGTGGTTGTTAGAATGCTTCTCCCAGCCCGCTTCCCTGCCCGGGAATGCGGGATCTCCGGTCGGGCAGCCGTGACTGACACACAGCAGCGCCGGCAGCCTCACACTGCCGCCAATTTAAATGCTGGCGTACTACTGTCATGTCGTAAAACACCCTGCTGGCTGCTTATGTCTTACATTTCCAAACTTGTTTCCTTAAGGATGGCGAGCCAGCGGCTCACCGCAGGACTCGCTCCTCGGGATCCCGGACAGACACATCGCTTGTTTTCCCTGTTCCCGACAGCCCCGCCTTCAGACCTCTCCCACCCCCATCTCAGAGCCACAGGGTGCCTCAGGCTGGAAGGGGCATCTGGTCCAGACTCCCTGCTCCCGCAGGGCCGTGCCACAGCACATGGCACAGCATTGCGTCCTGACAGTTCTTTAATATCTCCAGTGAGAGAGGCTCCACAACCTCTCTGGGCGCTCTGTTCCAGTGCGCAGTCACCGCACAGCAAACAAGCTCTTCCTCGCCTTCAGCTGGAACTTCCTGTGCATCACTTGCTGCCCGTTGCCATGAAAACACATGCACAGCCCTGAAACCCGCGGCGTTAGTCCCTGCTTTAGGCGCAGGATCCGCCTTGTGCCGTTGCTGTTTTTCGGGATCAGCATCCCGGGGCCGGCTGCTCCTCAGGCCGTTCCCTTCCCGTCAGGCGCGGCGCGGGCAGCCCCGCCGAGGCCCCGCTGTTAAGGGCGGGCGCAGCACCGCCCCCTTCCTTTGGAGCCGGGGCGCCATTTTGTGCGCACGCACGGTGAGGGCCCGCGTCCCTCCGCCGCTCCGGGGGACGCGCTTGGGACGCGGGGTGCCGGAGACACGGAGCGGGGACGCGGCTGGAGGGCTCCTGCTGCCGGCGGGGGCAGGCGGGGGGCCGCCGGCTCTGATGGGAGCACTGCGGCCTTCCTGGGGCGGGGAGTGGGGGAGCGAGGAGGCCGCGGGTTGCGGGTGGCGGTGCCGGGCGGATTGCGGGGGGCGGGTGGGATGGCGGTGCAGAGGGTGCTGAGGGAGGGAGGCAGGGGGGTGCTGAGGGAGGCAGGGCCGCCGAGGCCCGCGGCGGGAGCCGGTGCGGAGCAGCAGCGCTGCAGCACGTGGCGGCGGGCCCGGCGCCCCGGCGGGAAGGCCGGGGCAGGGAAGGCGGCACAGGGGCGGCTCCTCGGGGCCGCAACGCCGGGATGGCTGCGTAGGCCTGCGGAGCATGTGAGCCTTGTGTCAGATGTAATAGTGGCCTGTAAATGTGGTGGGGATCCTGCCTTACGGATGCATTGTAAGGAGGGGCTTAGGGAACGGGGCAGGGGTGTCATCGAGGGACATCTCACAGCGAGAGGATGTATCCTGGTGCCTGGCAAGGGCATGTGGAAGGAGCATGGAGCAACCAGCTGAAGTCTGGAGAAGCTCAGACTGGATTTAAGGAGAATAATGTTAATGGCAACAGCCAGGCCTGCAAATATGCTCCCGGGGAAGGCTGTGCAGTAAGGTCTTGGGGGAAAGTAATACAAGAAGTAGCTGCTCCTCATTGCTACAGCTTCTGCATGAGTGGAAGGGGAGGGGCAGTCACTGATCTTTGTGGTGACCAGAGATGGGACCCGAGGAGGTGGCATGAAGATGTGTCAGGAAAGGTTTTAATTTGGGTATCAGGGTTTGGTTTTTCACTCCAAGGGTGATTGGGCACTGGAATGGTCTCCCTGGGGGAGCTGGTCACAGCACCAGCTCTAGAGACTTCAAAAATCTTCTGAACAATGCTCTCAGTTACATGCTGTGACTCTTCTAGTGTTGTCAACAGAGCCAAGAGTTGGTCCTTGTGGGTCCCTTCTAATTCTGAATATTCTTTGGTCCTGCTCAAGAACTTTATCCAGTCAAGTTTCAAGACCTGAGCGGAGAAAGTTCTTGAGTAGCTTGGCTTGACCTCAGTAGACCTTGCTGTAAGCAGGAGTTAAACTGGGTACCTTGCTGGCATCCATTCTAACCTGAGTAAGCTCTGATTTCTTTGGATGCCTAAGTGAATCCCATTGCTTGAATTGAAGCAGTGTCATTCTGAATAGGCTTAAAGACTCCATTAATCTGAAATACCTGAAAATTCCGTCAACTTAGTGGTGAGTGAATGGTAGTTGTGAATAATTTGCCTTAATTTTTCACAGTAACCAGCCACAATGACGAACACAAAGGGAAAGAGGAGGGGGACGCGTTACATGTTCTCCAGGCCCTTCCGCAAGCATGGTGAGTGTCCCTGGCAGTGCCAGCACTGCATCCACTCACTGCCCTGATGGACAGCTGCACTCCCTGGGGATGGGCTGTGAAGCAAGGCCTTGTGCCAAGGGATTCCTGACAACTTGGGCTGAAAACTCTGTGGAACTATACACAGAGCTCTGAGCTCTTGACTACAAATGCTTTGGTATTCTGGTTGTTTGACAGTAGCTGCAGTGCTAATTCTGTCAGTGCTTGAAAATTAATCTGAAGGTGAGGAAAGTATTTCAGCAGTTACTTAAAACATAGAGGGGTTTTTCCTCTGATCAATAAGCAGTTGCATTTATATTGCTAAATTAAATAGTTTAATTTAATAGTCTCTTCAATTTTGGCATTTGGAACACAAATCTGGTTTTTCTTTAGCTGGGCATTTCAAAAATTTGAAGTGTGTGAAGTGTGTGATTACTGCTTTCAAAAAGCGTGATTTGATTTTTGAGGTATTTAGGAAAACTGTATCATATGCATGATCTGTGTCCCTCATCCTTTTTATGTGTGTGTGAAATTCCAGGCTTCCTAAGAATCCAAATTTGTATCTCTTAACAGGAGTGGTCCCTCTGGCTACCTATATGCGGATCTACAAGAAGGGTGATATAGTGGATATCAAGGTACTTTCTGCAGTGCTGTGTGACTAAAAGCTGAAGCAGCGTGGTCCTGAGCAGTCTCCAGCTCCTTGGGGTGGGCTCTTGTTGCTTGGGTCACATTTGCCAACACAAGTGCCTGTGCTCACTTAGGGAGCAATATTGGAATGACAGTGCTACTGAACCAGTAGTAGCACTTCAGTGTCACATGCTGGTGTGTGTGGGGTTTTGTAGATACATATAATTAGGGTGTGCTTTGTTTTGGTGTGTTCATCTGCAAAAGGGAAGTATGCCATAGCCAATATTTGAATTGGCTACTGGCACAGCTTTCCTAGGAGCCTCCGCTGTCACTTGGTTGATACTCTGTTATGAGCCATGATTTGTGGTGGGGGGTTCATAGCTAGGTGATTGCAAAGCTATACTAAAACTAGAAATCAAGAAATAAATGGGAGGATACATCATATATATTAATAAAGGGGAGAACAGTGAAGCAGCATTTCCCATCACTTGGTATATATTAGGACTTTTTTTAAGTCAACTGGGTTTTTTTTTTTTAAACTTTTTTTAACTGTCAACTTTTTTTTAACAACTGAGTTGCAGTGAATGTGAAAGCCTTTCATCAAGGATTCCTGTTTGGTTGAATCCTTTGGTTTCATTTGGAATGCCATATTCTTGTAGCAGCCACACAGAAGATGGTGTTTAATTTGCTAGTTTGTTGTTTGACTTGGAGAACGTATTGTTCAGAATTGACACTTCCTCATGCGCTGGAGCTTGATGATGAATGTCTCTTGTGATTGCTTGCTTGTCTTGAAAGCAAAGTGATCTGTCATTTCACCGACACTGAAAGCTACCAGAACTGACGTAGCAAAATTTGGTAGTCTTCAGATGCACAATGCATGTTGATGAATTCCAACTTTGGGGTAAAATGGGAATATTTTGTAATAAATCTCAAATAATTTGAAATGTATACTTTAAATTACTTCTTAAAGAAAAACCCTTTTTTTCCCCTCTCCCTCCTTTTTTTTTTTCCCCTTTTCTTTATGTTTCTTAACAGGGCATGGGTACTGTTCAAAAAGGCATGCCCCACAAGTGTTACCATGGCAAGACTGGAAGGGTGTATAATGTTACTCAGCACGCTGTGGGCATTATTGTTAACAAGCAGGTTAAGTAAGTAATGAAATCCTATGTATTGAAACTTCGTATTTGAGAAAGTTGAACTGTGGTTGCACCCTCCTTTCACTTTACCAGTTAGACAGATCTTGTCTTGATTGGTCATTCAAGGTGGGTAAAGTGTACTTCCTTTTTATAACCCAAGCAAATGATGCTCATTTGACTTGGATCCTGTCTGAGGAAACATTTTTTGTTTCTCTTACCGGCACCTAAAGTCACATTACCTAGCAGGGCTTCTCAGCCAGTGTGCTGGCATTGAAGCCCTTTTTAAGTACTAGCATGTCGGTATATCCAGCTAAATTTTGTACAATTGAGTCAAAAAAAGACAAGTTGGGGTTTTTTTGGTACCAGGAGCCTGACTGCTGTGTGTTTGTTATAAAATTACTTGTTTGTATGCTAAAAGGCTAAATATGTATTCTCCACAATTTTAATCTGAAATTGTCAGCACATTGTTATTTATTACATTGTTATATAATAATAAGCTTTTAGTTACGTGTAAGTTACATCTGATGCATCTGCAGCTGTGTTTTTAGGTATTGCCCTTTAAAGAAAAATGATCTGTAATTGAACTTATGGAGTTACTTCTGTAAGGTCTGTAAGTCTTGATTTAATGTGACCTTTTTCAAGTGAAGATTAAAAGCTGCCTGCCTTTCTTAGGGGCAAGATCCTGGCCAAGAGAATTAATGTGCGTATAGAGCATATTAAACATTCCAAGAGCAGAGACAGCTTTCTGCAGCGTGTGAAGGAAAATGAAAGGAAGAAAAAGGAAGCAAAAGAAAAAGGCATTTGGGTTCAGCTGAAACGCCAGGTAATGTTTCTGTTGAGGTCACAGTCCTTGAGCAGGAGATGACTGCGTTCTTGGAGCAGTGGCCTCATGCAGTGCGTTGGCATTTAGCCTGTCTGGATGTTTGTGGCTGAGCACTGCTCTGTGCCGGATGAAAATTGTAGGTGTAGCCTTGAACAAAGGCTGCAGCAGCAGCTCTGGATAGTTTTAGGGTCAGTAGAGTCTTTGCTTTATAGGTGAATTTTTAGTTGCAACAGGTTCTGTTGTAAGCCTTGAAGGAAAGAATTAATAACCAGACTTCAGAGAAGAGATAATGGCTATTGCTTCTGGAGCTGCAGGATACATCACTCCGTGTTCATTGGGTTGATGAGCTGCAGAAAATAAAGCATAGGTTTTTTTTAATTCAGTAGCAAGAGTCAGGCACATTTTCTGGCAGATAATTTTCTTATTGCTGCTCTTTGAATCAAATTTATGAGACTAGGAATGGTAAAATTGCTGTAATGTTTATATAATAATGCGCTAAATAGTTGACAAAATGTTATTTTCTGAAAAGATGCTTTTCTTCTGTTTACAGCCTGCTCCACCAAGAGAAGCACACTTTGTGAGAACTAATGGCAAGGATCCAGAGCTGCTGGAGCCAATTCCTTATGAATTCATGGCATAATGTATGTTTAAAAAATAAACTAAAGATATGGTTTTGGACAAGTGTATGTGATTGTGGCTGATTCATTTCGTTGGGTTTGGGGCTTTTTTGCTTGAACAGATGCTTTAGAAACCTTTTATTGAAGTTTATTTATTTAGCTTGCATTTACCATGATGCTTAGTCATTTAAATCATCTGCAGCTTTTGCTGACGAATTTCATCATCTATATAGATGATAAATGCTAGGAACACTGAAATTTGCTAGTGCTTAGTAATGATCATGAGCTATTATGAGGGGACATAAAATATTTCACCAGCAAACTAAGAATTTGTATTAAGAATTGGCCAATGCCAATTGAAGGCTTGCTTTTTTCGTTTTTTTTTTTTGGTAGGAAAAGAGATAAGGTGTTTCAGATTTCATTGATGCAAGGTTTGGCTAAGGAGCCTCATGAATACTGAGAAATTGTTGAAGCCATTTTTGAAAACAACCTCTAGGGAAATGTCTGTAGGCAAATTTTGTTCTTCCACCAGTGTAACTTGCAAAATAATGTTTACAGCATCCCTATGCCAATAAGCCTTCTTACAAAATAGTGGTAGTTTAGAAACAAGGGTTTCATTCCAAAACTGCCAGCCTTTGTATTTTGATTTTTAACATTTTATTGGCTGGTATAGCTACTAAACACTTGCATTTTATATGTTTATTGCATGCCTGTTGAATGTTGCAGTGAATTCCTCTCATCCCAGATTTACTCATGTCTCTCAAAAGCCCACTGCCACCTGTGCAGTTCTTAAATGGAAGAAGATTTTCAGCTGACTGTTTACTAACCAGTGCTGGTTTAGTGAGCTTTGCTTGAAGCAGTGGGCTGCCTGCTACAGACTGCTGAAGGCAATCTGCTTGGTTAGCCTTGAAAGCGCACAGTCTCAGGCTTGTTTTGTAGTTACAGGTAAATAATAGTTTACCTTGAAGTGTCATGTCAGGCATTGCTCAGCTGCCTTCAGTAAGTGATGTAAAACTCATGTCTACGTGCAGACAGAAGTACTGGAGCAGCAAGTGACCTCAAGCTGTTTGTAGGTGTTCACTGCTGAGAGTTGCTGAACAGTGAATTGCAGGGCAGCTTGTAAGTGTGGGAGTAAGGAACACAGATGAGGTTTGCTTTTGCCTAACTCTCAATCGTGGGTGTTCCCATTCCCATGGAATGTAGGTTGCAGACCTTGAATTCAGAGTCTGGCTTGGGCTGGTATTTAAGGGTGAAGGGCTTTAGGTTGGATGGGCTGGAGTTTCCAAGTTCCAGTGAGCAGATTGCTATGTTTGAAGTTCTCTTAAGCTTCCATCTCAGAAGATGCAGCAGGCTGTATAGGTGGAATGACTTTGGAAGTGACTTGGAAGAGCATGCCCCTTAGCAGGCTGCTCCATGACAGTAGAGCTGTGCACCACATGCACTTGGCTTTTATGGTCAAGGGGCTTTTCTTGGAGCAGCAAGATTTGTGTGCTTTATCAACTTCCTTAGCTTGTCAGTTTCCACAGCCATTTAAAAGTGGTATTTGTTCTACAAGATAAGCATCATTTCCCACTAGGCTTTGTGGGAATTAAGTGGGAGGCTATTGGATACAAACTGGTGATGGCATTTTAAATTTGCTTCTCATGCATGCATGTCTAAGCTAATTTGGTTCTGTGTTTGGTTAGTACTCATTTGTTCAAATCACGGCGGATTAGCTGTAGCAGCATGATGAAATTATTAACATCATAAGTGGGGCACAGTTCTAAAGTTTTTGAACTTTCAACAAATTGGAATACTAAGACTGGACAGCATTACAGTGGTCTTGTTTAAGAGCTGTGCTCCCAGAGACGCTGCATTGCAACACTATGCAATTTATTTAGAAAAAGTGTTTTTAAGGTCACTATGCCAATGGTAGTTGGTTGTAAATGCATATTTGGAAGCCATCTAGGCTGGGAAGTGAGGTTGGGAAGGTTTTCTTGGTCAGGATTCCCAGAAATGACTGAAAATGAATCTGGGTTTGTACAGGAAGAAAATAACCTTTTTTGGTTTTTTTTAATGTTTGGAAAGAGGACAAATAAATCAATGTGTAGCCTGTTTGTTGCACTTAGTGAAGTGGGGGTTTTCCACACTCATCTGAGGTTTCACAGCCCAGACATTTAACAGATCTCAGTACCTGATCTCAGCTGCTGAATTTTGCTTCCTGTGTTTGGCTGCCCTGTTTTTGCACAGTCCTGACGAAAGAGGGAGATCTGTGAATTGGGAAAAGCTGAAGAACTGCCTGTAGAGACATCTCCAGTCCTGAGCTGAAACATGAAGCATGTTCCTTACAGCGTTTGGAGTCACCACTTTTGACTTGCTCTGGAAGGGTTTTACACACCAAACCCATGAGCTGTAACCAGTTCTCTGCAGTCCTGTTCTGAGGCTCCTTTACAGCCATAAACCTTTACCCCTGGCAAAATCTCCTGTTGTCTCCTAGAGAAGCAGCAAGGAAGCTGCCTTCTGAGCTGTCAGCTTCATCTTTTTCAGTCTATTGGCAACAGCAGGATTTGAGGTTTCCTGAGCACTGTGTAGGCAGTGTCAGGCAGGGAGGGTCAGTGAAAAGGCAGGACTGGGAAGTGGGAGGAGGAACCATTGTCAGTACAGAGGCTGCACAAGGTAGGAACATTGCTCCCCCCAGCAGCACCCATACAGCTTAGGAACCTAGGAAAATAATAAAAAAAGAGGCGCCAGATGTTCTCAGGATGTTCTCCATGCCACCATCACAGGAACAGGCCACCTACTCTCCCCCCAAAAGTGCTGCTGTTGAATGCTGCCAGAGCTTGGAACGGGGATGTGTCAGGCAGCAATATGGCATACCTGGCACTGAGCAGTGTTGCTAAGGGAAAGAGGATCCTGATGGGCCATAGGGATAGTGGGATGGGCCATCCACAGAGGGGGTTAAAAAAGTACAGCCTGGCACTTCCAAGTGGGGCCTGCAGAGCAGAGAAAGGCCCCTTGGAATAGCCTGGAGGCCCACACATCCCAGGGATGCTTAGTCTGCAGCATGGGGACAGCTAATCTGGGCCCCAAATGCTTCAATTAACGGAGCTGCTCCTGTTGTACCTGGGTAGGTGTTGATGGAGATACAGTCCATCACACCCTGGACATTAATTCCTTCACAGGGCGTCCTGCCTGGGCTTGGGCAACGTCATCTCTCTGCTTGACCACCTCTACTTGCCCTTTGGGGGTGCTCCCAGCAGCAGGCAAGGCAGCTC